TATATATATATATATACATACATACATACACACAACTGTTTTATTTTATAATTGAATAGACCTGTGAGTCCTAGTGTGTACCAGTCAGGGTTTAGTCAGGGAAACAAAGCCAAAAATGGTGTATAGGATGGGAATTACAGCTACGTGAATATGGGAGGAAGAAGGGAAAGTCTAGAAGGAGAAATGGGAAAATAAAAGAAAGTCACTAACCATGTTCAGGTGAAGCACAGATAAATCAGGGCTTTATGGAAAATCCTAGAAGCAAAGTACTACTGGGCATCTAAGTGGGCTGTGAAGGGAGGACTTGCAGAGGAGTCTTGTAGCAACTGCCCCTTCTTAGAAAGTTATTACTTATGCAGAACTAGGGCTCTGCTGCCTAAGTGTCAAGTTCATGGTGACTGGCTTGGGCAAACGGCTAGGTGACAGCACCAAAAAACTAGACAAGGTGGATGCCGAGTGAGAGGAGAGTGAAGGTCAACGGTTTACTGGACACTCTTGGTGCGCTGTGCTACTGTCTGGCTACCAAGTTTGTTGTAAGAGAAGTGGTTCTGGATTCATCTCTGTCTTCCAATCTTTGTACACATTCACATTTTGGCCAAAATTATTCTGTAACCACACAGGGAAAGAGATTGCAGGAAACACAGCTTCTAATCTTAAGTTGACAAGATGAATCTAGGCCCATGGTGTAGCTTTTTTCATAAACTATTTTAATTTTATCATTTATACATGACAGTGATCTAAAAATTACTTATAAATGATTTGAGAAACAATCAGACACACATCCTCCTTGTTTTATAAGTGATTTTCAGAATGCTCGGGGAGTGGCACAAGAACCCTTGATGAGAGGTCATGATCAGAAAACAAACTGCCTGATCCTTGGAAACCACAGAGGGTTCTTTCCACCTCTACAAGAGCTGACAAAGCTGCCCTGAAGCGTTTTTATCATGGTCACTCTTACGGTGATGAGAGAAGATAAAGGGCTGAATAACATCTAAAGACAGTTCATTTTTCTCTTCAAAGACACTGACTCAAGTCGAACTGGCCAAAGGATCACCAGAATACATAGAAAAGGCTGAAGGCTGAATTACTCATAGGGTTTTTATGTCTCTGTGAACCATTAGCCTTTGGCTAAAACTCAGGTATATCTTTACAAAATAAAGCATTAATATTACCTTCCTGGCAAGCAAGACTGGAGGGAGGTGCCATCCTCACACTTAACCATGGTGCCGACTAAGAAGAAACATCAATCGCCATTCTTTTTGTGACAAACTTATAGAAATAGTGGTGTGTAAGCAAATGAAGTGCAAACGAATTATTTATGTAATGGATACATTTGTTCTCATAAATTGTCAGATTATATATAGCTGCTGACATGTTGGCTTTTCCTAAGGCTGTGCTCTTTGCTTTCATCAACTTTATATATGATTTATGAAGGCAGATGCATCAGATTGAAAAACGATAAAGAAAATGTGATTTGCCTACAAACAGAATCCAGAGATAAGCTTGGGTTTTAAACTATACTGAATCTAAAGGAAAAATGATATAAAAGCTATTTTTGCACCAAAAATAATTAAAATTGACATTGAAATACTTCATACTTAAAAAAACCTATCCTAAAAACTTTATGAACGTGATATTATAAGGCTCCTCCTTGCATAAAAAAGATTGAGACTCCAGAAATGCAAGAACTTATTTATACTTTTGTCTAAACCAGGAGTGAAGATAGGATGAATTTGCCTAGTTCTCAGTCTATAAATAAATATATTCTTAAGGTCATCTAAAAATATATCTGGCCTTAAACTAGACTACAGCTTAGAATATTCCAGTCTTACCTCAATCAAATACTGTGTTTTATTTCTAAACAAAATTTGAGAAGCTGTTAAAAGTAGTTCAAGGGCCGGGGATTTAGCTCAGCGATTCAGTGGCCTGCCTTGCAAGTCCAAGGACCCGAGTTCAATCCCCGGTACCAAAAAAAAAAAAAAACAAAACAAAACAAAAAAAGTAGTTCAAATAAATCACAATAAAATTGGATGAAAAATAAGAAATTTAGCTAAGAGCCACACTCTTTCTGCTGTACATACCACCATGACTATGCATGATCAAGTTAAGCTTGTTACTGAATAATATTTTGTGTACTTCCATGGAGACAAATGAACACAGGCAGGCTTTATCTTCATAATTTTTTAATTTCTTTGGCCCCTCCTCTACCATGAAGAGGTATTGGAATTACTATTCAGCTCTGTTCAGATAACTGCTATTTTTAAATATAGACTTATATTTCTACTGAGGGATCTGTATATGCTCTTGGATGGATTCTGCACATAGCAAATATGGAATGTTCCATGCTGAAACGATCAATAATCAATCATTTCTGCAAAACTTTACCTACCTGTAATATTCAATGAGTTAAAATAGCCCCATCCAGGAACCCAAATTAGAAACCTGAAATATGGTATTATATAGCAAATTCAGCCTGAGTTTGATTTTAGCCTATGAGTTTCTCCATCTCCTCGCATCTAATAAAATCATATTGTATCGCACATTCCAAGTCGCTAGTGAGGGTAAAATGAGTTTGTAAATAAACTGTGCTTAATTTCAATAGATTCATACCTTTGATTCCTTCTCTTTTGTGCCTTACATTTAATGTATAAGCATATCATTGTATTTCTTCTCATAAAAACATTTTTTGGCCATATGAGATCAAATTATCAATGCTTCTTGTCTTATAACTGATGAAGCTTTTTCTGCCAGGGTCTGAAAATCTCTTAACTGTCTCTGTTTTCACCTTTAACATATCTAATTAATCTACCGTCTATTCTAGTTCTACTATGGGCCAGGGTTTGTAGAAATCTTAAATCAGATCTTTCAGAATGAATCTCAGGCCCAGACAGTAGATACTCAGACTGAGAGCTTTCAGGGATAGGACAAGTTCATTTACTATAGGAAGTGTATTTTGTCTACATTGCCTAGGCACCGTCATTTAAAACTTACTTCTCCATTCAGAAAAAAAAAAAAAAAAAAAAAAAAGTTATGCATAAGTTTAAATACAGAATTTTCTTGGATTAGAACAAGTAAGATTTAAAACCAAACATCCATATTTTAGCATAAGATATAGCACTTTCTAAATACAAATTCTGAATAACTTACATTTTCTAAACAAAAGATTAAAATGAAGATAAAGGTAATATCCAACTCATAGTATGATATAAAAAGTTTAATGTGATAATATAAAAAAAATGTACCGTGAATGATTCAGACCAGACATGTTTAACTGGGAGGCTCGCCAGGAACATAGGACCCTGGTCAGCCAGTAATGTGCCTCTGTAAAATCATCAACTTTGAAAGTTATTATATGATTTTAGCAACACTTCTTATGACTCATTTACATGGTGCTGGAGTGTGAACCGTGTAGGTAACAACAGAACATCGTCTAGGGGAAGACAGAGCATTGTAGGGGTAAATCGAATAACCCAGGTACATCAGATGTTACATGTGCTTGTGCAGCTTGGAGGGTGAAGCGCAGTGATCAGCAAGAGTAGTATTTCAAACCTGTCTAGATTGTGCACACATGAAGACAGCTATCTCTTAGTATTAAGTAGACATAATAGGTTTTCTCTTTTAATTATTAAACTTGGGCTTCTGTTATTTCATTTTACTGTTTAATAAAAATATAAGACAGGGCCAGGGATTTAGCTCAGTGGCACTGTGCCTGCCTCTTAAGCACAAGGTCCTGAGTTCCATCCCCAATACAAAGAAAAAAAAGGCAAGAAGTTTTGTTACTTATATATCCTAACTACATTAGGTTATGTTATATGCATCCCAAAACTCTTCCTTTTTCCAGGGTGGCCTAGGCAAACCAAAGGGCTGCACGTCTGTAACTCAGACCGAGGAAAACACTGGCCATTATTATTCCCTTCTCAATTCTGTTGAAAAGGAGATTACTTTCTCTGAGCTCTCTGTGTTAATCAGATTTCCTTTACTGAGACAATCAACTTATAAAAAGGAAAGTTTCATTTTACCTTCCGGTCTTGGTGTTTTCATGAAAAGTTGGCCCCATTGTTTTTGGGCTTGTGAGAGCCAGCACGGCATGGTGGAGAGCTCATGGTGAAGCCCAGCTTTAACTTCAGGGTGACTGGTGAACAAAAGACAGGAAGAGGAAGGGGTTAGTGTCCTAATGTCTCCATGCAGGGCATGATTTCAAAGAACAGAGGGCCTCCCACTAAGCCTTATCCCTTAAAAGTTCAACTACCTCCCACTAACACTTCAAGCTAGGCACCAAGTCTTTAACACACGGGTCTTTGGGGGCTGCATCCTAACCACAAGAGTCTCTAACTGTTCATGTAATATGACAATGTATGCAACAATATCCTAGGACATGGCCTATCTGTGAGAAGTGCAGTAGGAACAGAGTAGATACAACGTTCACCTAACAAGTAAATATAGTTCCACATTTGTACAGTGACTACTTTAAGGTCCTACTGTCCTTTTGTACATGATGTCAAACACAAACCTTTCTGTTGGAATCAATTTTTACTACTCTATTAAAGTGTCAGTTTAACGACAAACAAGAAGAGCTATGAGACAGCAAGTTGGTAAGCAGAACCAACTCAGCAGATTTATTAAGGTTGCTTATGTTCCTTGTCTTTTATTAATCACTCCAAACTCTTTTGGAGTTTTAGCACGCATCAGAGAGCCCACTTCCTAGCAAGAAACAAATAGAAAGTCACCACCATAAAAATTTTCCAAAATTCCAAGCAATAAGAAAGGAATGAAATTCAGTAAAAACCAGAAAAGGATGGGCGGATAGATACTCAAGATTTCACTGTCAGACAGAAAGAATAGTACACATCAACTTCTTAGCTCGGTTTTAAAATTGCATAATGCCCAGTGATGAAATATGAAAGTGACCATGGAATGCTGAGTAGAGCAAAAGACAAAGGTTTTATCACTCAGAGTCGTATGGCATTTGGGACAAGAAAAGGCAGAGACAGTTGACTCTGGTAAGTCACTGAACATCTGGTGTGGGAATGCTTTTTAGGCAACAGCCTTGTGTACCAACAAGGTTTGTTCTAGTTAGATTTTCCACTGCTTTACGTATATGTAGTCTCTTACAAACCATCTGAAAGCACTGAATACATTTTATAATCATTACGGTCTTCCAAAACATGTACCGAAAGCTTCCCCACACGAATACCTTCCTACTCACTCCTCTCGTTATTATTCTCTAGTTTGCTGTCAAACTACTGAATAATACACAGCTTTCTGACTTTCCTGTCATTTAAGTCCCCAGGGCTTCTTGAGAAAAATGTAGAGGTTTGATAAGAGCGCTGGACCTCTCTGGATCTGAGCCATAGCACTTATATTTACTAGTTTCAAGACATTAGGAGACTATAACTCTTCTGAGACTTGGAACTTGTCAGGGATATATTTACTTTCCAAAATTGTTAGAACACAATAATACAGTGTACTTAGAATTTTTTAAGCTGAAAACTATTTCATATACACATACATATCTTCATATGTATATTTGTATCTTTAAAAATTAACACTTTCCCTTATCGGCTTCTCAGTAAATTTATTTTATTTTCCCTGTTATGAGCCAGTCTTAAATTACACAAGATACATCATGCAAACATGTATAAGTATACTATAAAATATATACAAAGATACATACACTTACTGCTAAAGCAACAAGAACCACTCAAGAACCTCATTGCTATAGTCCTTGACAGCAGAGAAGAATCTATGGCACTCATATTGTTTTTGTTTTAAGACAAAAGATGTTAATTTATGACTTGTTTTTTCTAAAGCAAAGCCTTGGTATTCAGGTTTAATTGCATTGTTGGCACTTTGCGATAAATAAGTAGGCTTGGGGTTGCAGTTTGGACTCTTGTCTCTAAAAGGCTGGCCATCACTGTAGGATGTAAACTCACAGTGGATCTAGAGGAAAATGAGGTTAGTTAATAAACCCTAAGGGCTGGGGATAGCTCAGTGCTTGTGGCGCCTGCTTCACAAGCTCAAGGACCCAAGTTCGATTCCCGGTACCAAAAATTAAAAATTTTTAAAAACCATAAAATGAACCCTAAGAGGCAGTATAAGCTAACAGCTTATGGCCTACTCTGCATCATTCCACTCTGTCTTTGTCGCCCTACTTATGTCTCTCGTAGAAAGTCTTCTACTTCCTCCTTCTAAGGATATACGTAATTGAATTGAGGTGCACCTTGAATAATTTATACTATTCTCCACATTCTGAGATTCTTAATCCCATCTACAAAGATGTTTCTAAAACTTTTCCAAATTAGGAAAAAATTCCAGATTCCATGCAGTGGATTATTTTGGATATAAGGAAGTAATTTTTATTTTTTATGGTTACCACAAGGGGCTTCTTGACACATAACTCTTTAGCAGTATAAATGGGAAGATGAGTTTAAAACATATCTGGTTCAACACTCAGAGACCTTAGCCGGGCCAGTGAACTTTCCCCAGCTGCTGGGTGCTAACTGCTCACAGCTGCTTCCTCCTCTACCAATGGGAGGTACTTCACTCCTAGCCTGAGCCAATGATTGACTGATGCAGAGAAGAAAAAGATCATCTCTGCTGCTAACAACAACAAAAATTTATAACTCAAATTAGGGCTGAGGGTGGGGCTCAGTGGCAAAGCACATGCCTAGCATACAAAATGTCCTGGGTTCAAGTCCCACCACTGTCAGTAAAGAACGTAAGAAGTCAACTCAAATGTATTTCTCTAGTAAAAAAGTTTTACAGAGGAACCAAAATCTATGTCTAGCAAACCCAAGCATTGCACCTCATCTTTTTTCACTAAGATCTTCAGTATCAATAAAAACTCCAAATGGTCACATTAAGTTACAGAATTGATGTAACTCATGTTTGTTCACTGTGCTATTATTATTTCAAATTTATTGTTTAAATGCAGTACTCTTTTAATCCCATAACAACAGAAATCTTGCCCAAAATAAGAATGAAGAATACTTTTACAACTATGAACACATGTAATTGATTCTGCACATGTAGGGACTTCTATGTGTTTGGGAACACTTCCAACTAACACCCATGTGGAATGTGATACTTATTAAGGATGTTCAGTAAAAACATTGTGAATTTGAAGCTTATGTACATATTATAAAGTGTCAATGGAAATTGAAACACATATCTAAATTTAGAGTTCAAACCAACTAAAGTCTTTGGGGATGAGAATTATATAGTTGGATTTATCACCCCCCCAAAATAAAACATTGTTGTCACCTCCACTCCCAGCCTTGCTATTTTCTTCAATTAGAGAGAATAATTTTATCCTATCTATATATATAGTTTTATTCTAATGGTTTTTAACTAAAAATATGAAAATGCTTTATGATTTGTTAGAAAAAAGTAAATAAAAGTTAAAGTTCTTTTAATACACAATTTCTCAAATCTTCAAAGTGCAAAAATTCATTATTACATTTCAATGAAAATGTTCACCCTAATTTGTAAACGTGGTATCTTTTTTTCAGGGCTTCGGTTGATATGATTGATAAATCAATGTCTATATTTAAAGGGTAGAACATGTTTTGATTTCTATAGCCACTGTAAAATGATTACCACAATCAATCTAATTAACAGATCTATCAAGTCATTTCCCTCTTCTGCCTTTCCTCTAGCAAATCATCTGGCAGTGGATGGTTCTGTGTCTCAGCTACTGGGAATAATGATTCAGTGAAAGGGGGAGTGTAGATATCCCTTCAACATGATGATTTTGTTTTCTTTGGCTATATACCCAAAAGTGAGACTGCTCAATCGTATAGTAGTTCTAGATTTAAATTTTTGACAATCCTCCATGATGCTTTCCATAGTAGCTGCACCAATTTATGTTCCCACGAAACACAAACAAGTACTCCATTTTCTCTACAAGCTCACTGATGCTTATTTTTTACAGACCTACAATAATAGGTGTGAGCAGATATTTCACCATAGTTTTTGATTTGCATTTCCTGGTGAGTAGTAGTTTTGAGCACACTGTCATATGAATGTTGGCCACATGCATGGCTTCTTCTGAAAAATTCAGATCATTTGCCCATTGTTAAAAATTGGGTTATTTATAGCTGGGCATGGTGGCACATGCCTATAATCCCAGCACTCGGGATGCTGAGGCAGGAGGATCACTGCAAGTTCGAGACCAGCCTGGGCTACACAGTGAGTTCCAGAGCAGTCTGATCTACATAGTGAGACCCTGTTTCAAAAAAAAAAAAAAGGTTATTTGTAATTTGTCTTTGTTATCATTGTTTTTATCATCATTATTTCTTTACTGTTTTGTGTTTGTGTTTCTTATGTTTTAGATATAAGAAATCTTGCCTAAATAACCTATTAAATAGCTCAAAAATGTTTCTGTTTCATGGTTTGCTTATTATTTATTCTTTTGTGTGCAAAATCTTTACTTCTATGTAGTCCCACTTATTTTTCTTTTTCTTGACTGTGTTTTTTGAAGACATATTCAAAACATTCATCTCCAAGACAAGCATCATGGAATTTCCCCTTTATGTGTTCTTTGTGAAGTTTTCAAATCTAACATTCAGAGCTTTAATCTACTTTTAGTTAATTTTTGTGTGTGGTATGAGATAAGGATCCAAATATATTGTTTTGCATGTGAACATGTAGTTTTGTTAATAATACTTGTTGAAGAAATTACTCTCTCTCCTCATTGTATGATGCTGGCACCTTTATTGAAGATTAGTTGTCTCTCTCTCTCTCTCTTTATATATATATATACATACATATATATATACACACACACATACATATATATATACATACATATATACATACATATATAGTGCGTATGAATATGTATGAATATACATATATAGACATATATAGAGAGACATATATATTCATACATATGTGTGTATGTATATATATATATATATACACACACATATAGGCTTACTTGTAGGATTCCTACTTTTTCATAGTTGTATTTATGTCTATACCATGGTATTTGTCTTTATACCTTTGTAGGATAGTTTAAGATAAACAGTATGATGCCCACAGATTTGCTCTTTATGGTCATGATTGTTTTGGCTATTTTGAGTCTCTTGAAGTTACATATAAATTTAGGATTCTTTTATTTTCATAAAA